CTGGTTTATTACGGCACCAGTGTGGACTCAGTGGAGTGACCTCCAAAGGCTGAGCACACATGATGCAGTGAGCAAAGCTTTTGTAGAGGCTGTTTTCCAGGATGGGCAGGGCCTTTGGGCAGTTTAGTGGGCCCCTGGGCAGGGGACCTACCAGGTTGCTTAGGCTCAGTGGACTAAGTAGGGGTAGGAGTCATCCCTTCACATTTTAAAACACTTAAGTTTTGAGGTAGTTTTTATGCAGCAGCGAGTAGCTGATATACCCGCAGGCTGGGCTAGGGGCCTGTCCAGTGACCTGCCCAACATAAGTCCCCTGACAGGAGGGTTGTGCCTACAGCTGACCACCCACAGACAGCTCTCCAGGGGCTCTTCATGCTCATACTGGGTCTGAGTTCCCCAAACAGAGTGTGGAGTGAGGCACGCACTGAGTCAGTGTCTGTGGAGGGGACACGTGACTAACATGCCAGGACCTCCCCGTGAGCCTTCCTCCACCAGTCTGACCAGCAGGGACTGGGATCTGGAGGAGCTTATGCCAGATGCCATCAGGTCTCCTGCACACCCATGTAGGTGGTGGAAGGAAGGAACATGGGTGACTGGGTCACAGCCATGGGTGGCTGGAACATGCCTCGGCAGCCCACCAAGGGACAGGTCTGCCACTTGGGGTGAGCATCACCCCTGCCCTGCCCTGCCCTGGGCAGCTGGCCTGCACACCAGAGCCCAGGCCCCCTGGCTGTGCTGCATGCGTGGCCCTGGTGGGCCTGGGCTCTGAGGGTCAGGGAGACAGAAGGGGTGGCACGGGCTGAGGGTACTGCCGGAGGGCCTGTGGCCAGGCTGCCAGGGAGCTCCTGGTCAGGCCCACTGGGGCCCCCCTGTGTCGGCAACCCTGCTGCAGCCTCAGGCCAGGCTTCTGTCCTTTGTCAGGCTTGCTTTTCTTTCTAAACATTTCCTTTTTGACTGTGGTAAAACACACATTGCATGAATATTTTACCACTTCAACCATTTATAAGTGTACAGTTCAGTGACGTTAGGTACACTTGCACTGTTGTGCTGCCTCACCACCATCTCCAGACCTTTCCATCTTCCCAGCTGAAATCTGTCCCCATTAAACACTCACTCCCACCCCGTGACCACCCTACTTCCTGTTTCCGTGGGCCTGACAGCTCTGGGGCCTCAGCTCAGTGGGTCACACAGCAGCTGTGCTTTGTGATGGGCCTGTTTCACTCAGTACGCGCTCAGTTCCCCCGTGTGGTGGCAGGTGGCAGGGTCCCTTTCCTCCTCGAGGCTGACATCCACGTGGAGGGGCCACACTGCCTGTGCGGTGTCTGGTGGTGGGCCCCTGGCTTGCTTCACACTTTTCAGCTCTGTGAACGTGGGTGTGCATGGGTCTGCTCAGGTGCCCGCTCTCAGCTCTCGACAGAAGTGGGCCTGCTGGTCATACAGTGATTCTATTTAATCTTCTGAAGAACCTGCAAACCACTGTACACTGCAGCCACACCGCTTTACATCCTCACCTACATTTGTGTTCAGACAGTTGCCGTCCCAGTGAGTATGAGATGGTCGTTTGCTTTTCCTGCTGGGCCTCACCGGCGCTCCCCAGGGATCTGCTGGTGGCCTTATGGGCCATTTCTCCGGGCTTTGCCACCCCCACCCCCAAGCCATGCTGGACACCAAGTGCCCAGGAGCCCCGACTGGCCCTGCATGGACCTGCCTCTGCTGCTTTGCAGAGCAGCGGCTGTGTGGGGTGCCCTGAGCTATACCTTGAGCAGACGGTAGACGGGGTGCGGTGGGTGGGGTGGGGTGGGGTGGGTCATCGGGGCTGACCAAGACTCCCAGGTGAGGCTACGGGAAGGGAGTGGTGCAGGGCTTTGGGGGAGGTGTTTGTGAGGGCCTAAGAGGGTCATGGATGTTGTGAAAACCCAAAGCCATTGTCCATCAAGAGGGAAGCAGGCTTAGTGGGGATGACAAGCCCCAGGTGTGTGTGCTTGAGTTCGCCCAAGTGTGGGTGGACATTCTAGGACAGGCAGGCTCAGCATGCAGGCCCCAGCCCCCTGGGTGCCCCATCAGGCGGCCACAGGGCTCCCTGGTCAGGTCCCAGGACTGTGCGCTTCTCCCTGGGCCCCACGTGTGTCCTCAGAGGGGCTGCTTTTGGAGCCAGAGGGACGTGGTTTTGGATACCTGAGGGGGCAGTTTTCCATCTGATGACAGCAGACTCGGCAGCAGCTCCAGCCTGGGAGGAATCCAGGCAGGCTCAGGGGGCTGGTGTGGGTCAGTGCGGCCTGTGGCCACCGCCAGCCCTGCTCCCGCCTGGGGCACCCTGGCGGTCAGGCCGGAGGGCTTGGCTCCTGGTTGCTGCTCAGTGGTGACTCTTCGCCATGACCTCAGGCACAGCACATGACTGCCGCAGCCTTAGGGGAATGGGGGGACACCTGCTCATGGGGCTCACAGGGCTTGGGCTGTGTGTGCATATGTGTGCATGCGGGTTTGTGTGTGGTGGTGTGTGTGTTGGCACATGTGGGGCACGTGTGTGTAGAGGTGTGCCTACCTGTGGTGCTCTGCTTGTCTGTAAGCACCTGGGAGAGAGTTGGCCGGCACCAGCCTGTGAGCATTGCATAAATGTAGCTGCTTTTATTTGTTATTTCACAGCATGAAACCACCACAGCCACAAGAAAAACAGCAACCAAGCAGGCATTTAGAGGCACTGGACACGGAGGCCAAGTGCCCCAGAACCTTTCCTGCAGAGGCAGGAAGGGAGAGGAGTGGGTGGGGGGTCACTTCTGACCCTAGACTGCCGCCCAGCACATTCCCTGTGTCTGTGACACGTCAAGTCCTCTGGCCTCCCTCCCTGTTCAGAAGAGCTTGAGCAGTGCCCGGTGCTCCCACCTCACCGCCTGGAGTGGAAGGGGAGCTCTGGACCGGATGTGGTCAAGCACAAGGCCAGATCCTAAGCGACGGGACCCCAGAGGAGGTTGGGGCTGCTCTGAAAGACGAGAACCCATGATCTGCTCCTGCCATGGGGCCTGCCTGGTCCAGCCCCTGGGGGCCCGGTCGCTCCTGACTGGGGGCCTCCTTGTTGCATATTCCCACCTGACCTAAGTTGACTTTCTGCAGGGGCCCTGCCCCTTGGGCAGTCCTTGGGACACTTCCATTCTGGATTTGACTTGTAGAGCATCTGCTTGGGAGAGGGCTCAGCAGGCAAACCGGGAGCATGGGAAGAGTGCATTTGCCCGTGGCTGGTGTGGTGTGGCGCAGGGCGTGCGTGTGGGTACAAGAGCAGTGCTGGGCAGCTGTCCATGGGTGCCCTTCCCTCTGGGTGGTTCTGAGGCGCGAGGGAGGCAGCACTGGTGACAGTGTTTTGAGGGCTCCACGGGGTTGTGCGCTGGCTCACTGGTCCGTAATTTGCCAGTGGTCCCTGTGTCGGCCCTGGGGACTGTGGGGTCAGCAGGACACAGAGAGTCTGCCCTCTGGCTGTGCAAACACACCTCTTATTATTCATTGGTCAGTCTCAGGCTCGGCTCACATTCTTCCCCAGCCTTTAGGCTTTCCAGAACCTTCCAGTCCCTGGGCCACCCGTCGCTCTTACCATGTTTTCCCACATACCATGCACTGTCCATGTTTTGCCGCATGAAGTCACCACAGACCCATGGAATGAGTAGGTATGGCCGCTTTCTGGAGCTGCAGCTGCAAGTTAGCACAAACAAAGCAGCGGACATTCGTTCAGCTGGGCCAGACGCCAAGGCACGGGGCGTGGACAGGGCTGGTTCCTACTGAGACCACGAGGGAGACTGCCGTGCTGTCCCCCAGCTTCTGGGGCTAGCTGGCCACCTCCGCATGTGTCACTGTCCTCTCCCTGTCACACGCCATCCCCCTGGGTGCCTGTGTCGGTGTTTCCCCTTTTGTAAGGACGCAGTCATACTGGGTTAGGGCCCGTCCCGGTGACCGTGCGGCAGGCTCGTCCCAGAGATGTGTTTCCAAGTAAGATCACACCCACAGGTGCTGGGGCTTAGGGCTCCGCCATGGATTTTGTGGGACACGTTCAGCCTGTTACAATAAGCATAGGCTCCCACATACTGGACAGAAACTAAGGTGCAGAGTGGGGGCCCCAGACACTCTGGGTATTCGTGGCCAGGGGTGTGGCTCGTCTGTGCTCTGGTGGCTCTGCGCATAGGTGCTCTGTGACTCAGAGCCACCCTGGAGGACAGCCACCCCTCGTCCTCACAGGCCAGAGGGTGCCTGCTTTGCGTTGGACTGTGTCCCCAGTCGCTAGCCTCACACCTTTCCACTGAGAATGTGGGGGCAGCAGGGCACCGGTGGGCCTGGCCCAGCTGGGGACTTTGGCTTTGCAGTCGCTGCCCACCTTGCCAATGGGGAGGGTGCCACCTGGGCCAGCATCTGCTTGTGGTGCTGCACCTCAGTGCCCTCAGGTTGTGCAGTCTTGGCCTCATCTCCAAAACCAAAGGGTGTCCATGGCAGGGGTGGAGAGGGCGGGGATCCGGGGGAGTTTGTAGAATTGTGTTCAAGTGACATCAGCTGTCACTATGCTTTTAAAATGTTCTTCACGTTTTCTGTCTCAGCTTCCGGCTTCCCTGCACTTCCTGGTTTTGGCTAAGGTCAAATAGCAGAAGTACTAAAATATTTCTCAATATTTCAAAATACGTGTCTAATGGTGCTTCTGATCTCGCCCAAAACAGGAAGTTCTATGAGACATGTCACCGGAAGTCCACGTCCACCATGGCCTCTGCGCACACAGCCTGGGGTCCTCCAGGGACATCCAACTCAGTGCATGGGGACCCATTCTGTTTGGAGAAGACTCCACTGGTTCACTGGGATTACAGGAGGGTTTGGGGAAACTAGGAACCTGTTTGTGTTAGTGTCCTAGGGCGGCCATAGCAACGCACCGCAGACGAGGCAACTCAGACATTTTCCATGGGACGCTTGGGATGCAGGTGCAGGCCGGGGGCTCCTCCTGGGCCTGGGGGGTGGTGGGGGGGACCGCCTCTCTCGTGTCCTCCTGGGGCCATCCCTCTGTATGTGTCTGTGTCCTGATCTCTTCTCATAAGGACACAGATTGGATCAGGCCCCCAGGGACCTCATTGCACCTTCTTTGAGGACTGTGTGCAAATGCATTGTGTACCTGAGGTGTCAGCGGAGGCCTCGGCATAGGAACGAGGGGACACAAGCCACCCCGGAGCTCCATCTTTTTTGTTGTCCCTAAATCGTTTCTGAGGCCAGAGACACTGCTGCTCAGTGTCCCTGGCTGAACAGCCGCCCAAGGAGAGCTTGTCCCAGGCGCGCTCCGGCCACAGCGGCCAAGGCCCCCAGAGTGCGGCTGCCAGGCTCCGGCCCTCCTGGCCAAGCAGGCTCGGGGGACACTGGGGTCTTAGCTGTGCTGAGGCACCACGTTAGCCATCATGTGAGTGTGCGGCCTGGAGAGCGAGGACGGCCGAGAGCCATGCAGCCACTGGCAGAGTCCTGTTCCAGGACCCCCTGGCACCTGCCAGCTGCCCCCTGCCTGCCTCTAAAGATCATCCACTGTGGGCAGACATGGTTTGGGACCCTGGAGACCCCCCTGAGCTGGTCCTCAGAGAAAAAACTACAACTGAAAAAGCCTGCCAGGTCCCAGTTCTGCCCTGACTGGTACTGTCCAGTACCCAAAGCCCATTCTGCTGGTGAGCTTGGCACTACCATGCACTTCAGGGATCCTTGGCGCACTGCAGCCATGAGGGGCTGCCTGCTAGCCATACTCTCCTCAGAGCCTCCCAGACCTTCTGGAGGCCTCCTTACTGGGACTGGGATGGGACCCCACTGTGCCCACAGGGAGGCCTCTCCTGAGCCTGGGCTCCCAGCGGGCTGTCCTATATCACATTGCAGGAAGCCCCATGAGAGGGGCCTGCAACTTGGGGGGGACACAAGCACCCCTGGTTTCAGGTGACCCTGGATCATGGGGTCTGAGGGTGTCAGCCTCAGGTTCCCTGTTCCCCCGCCCCAGTCCCAGGACACAGGTCCCCAGGGCCCCTGGCCCAGATGGGTGCCACAGTGCCCAGAGCACCCCATGGTGGGGTGGGGTGGGGAGGGGACAAAAAAGGACAGAAGGGCTGAAGGGGTCTTAGAGAGTGTGGCCTCCCCAGCATCCCTGATCTGCCCGCTGCCCCTGCCCAGCACTTGGCCCAGAGCCCTGGCAGGTGAGGCGTTGTCACAGCCCCGGGCTCCCTCCGGCAGAGGAAGTTGGTCTCTGAGCCCTGAAGGGGATTTTGAGGGGGATTTCCAGCCAGGGAACAGCTTTCAGCGAAGGCACTAAATGGCCTGGGAAGGCCAACCCTGTATGGAGTGGGTCGCCTTAGTCACAGGGGCAGCATCTCCCAGTCCGGGCTGGATGCAGGAGCACGGCAGCTGGGTGAGCCACGGAGCGCCCCTCCACCCTTACTTCTGGGTGTCTGCTGCATGTCTGCATGGCCATAGCAGCTCTGTGGGTGGGTGGGAAGGCTCTCGCCCTGTTCCCCAGGAAAGCCAGACAGCGGGACACCAGGCCTGTATGGAGCCCCTGAGACGTGTCCCTGTGGAAGTCTGCAAGGAGATTTCGGTGCCAGCCCCCAGCCTGACATCAGGATCCACGGCTGCCGTCCTCATGAGGGGTCGGCCTGATGCCCTCTTCCTTGTGAGGCTGCCCAGCCCCGCTCTGCGGCCTCCAGGGAGGCTGAGCAGGGTGACGGGGCTGCGGCCACAGGCATGGGCAGTGGGGGCCTGCCCAGGGGTGGAGAAGGTGCTGTCTGCCGCCCCGGGGGGCATGGAGATAGGCCTTCCCATGGAAAAGCCCATAATCACCCAGAATGGTTGCTCCCACCAGGGAGGAGCCTGCCCCACACTGGCGAGGAGAGGAGAAGGACACCAGGGCCTCCGAGCCGCACTGCCCACACTTCAGGCTTCAGTGGTGTGGTTCCTGCAGAAGCATCAGGGCCACCTTGCTGACAACTGAGAGTAAGCAAATCCTCCAGTGCCACCGGCTGCAGCAGCCCGGCCTGCGTGCCCTTAGGAGCCTGGGTGTGCAGCTCAGGGTCTGTCTGGGTTCTCCTGACCGTCCTGCCAGGACTGTGTGACTCCTGAGGCCCTGTTTGTGTGAAGCCCCCTCCCTACCCTGTGTTCCAATTGACATTGGGGTCCTTGGCAGTTTTTCTCATGCGCGTGGGCTGGGAAGGGTGTTCTGGCCTCAGACTTCTTCCTGAGTGTTCCTCGGAGGTGGGGTCCCGGTCAGGTGGTGAACACTTCATGCCAGGCTGCCAAGTAGGATTCCCAGCATGAGGGCCTGACTGCAGGCCCTCCTGCTCAGCCTGGCGTATCTGGGACTGGGCAGGGGGGGGTCCCTGGGGCCTTCCCCAGGGGCTCCTGCAGAGATGTGGCCTTCTCCCGGGAAACCCCGCTCCCAGGCCACTCCGGCCCCCTCCAGCCCACTGGCTCACAGTGGGAGTTCCCACAGCACGTTCCCGCCCTCCCATGGCCCGGTTGGTGGCCCGCTGGGGTCAGCTGCCTCTTCGGTGGGGTGGGCGTGGGGGGCTTTCCTTGTAATAGTCCAAAAGGAGCCGGGTTCTGAACACACTAAACATGCCCCTGGCTGATGTGGAGTGATGGTGGGCCGCTTCTGGGAAGGTGGGCTTGCCCTCAGCTGGGGCACGAGGGGCTGGGTCAGGATGGTGGGCGGCCGGTGCACAGGCAGGTAAGGGCCCAGCCCCGACTTCCTGGCCCCATCTGCCACGGCCCCATCGTTAGCGCCTGCTCCGGGCAGGTCCAGGAATTTGGTTTTGGAGGTTTCTGAGATGCTCAGTGCTTTGGGGCAGCCTGTGGCCTCTTGGGGTCCGGCCCCAGGCCCTGGCCTTCTCCCCACTGCACCCTCTCTCCTCTCTGGGGTGCCCTGACCCTGCCACCTCTGTAGCCCAGCCTTGGCCATGCCCACTGCCCTCAGCTTCCAGGCAGAGATGGACTCCTGTGTCCCTCCCTGTACACCATGACCAGGCGTGGGCTGGGCAAAGGCCTTCTCCCTGACCGACCTCAGCCGGGCTCTCCAGGGCCCCTTGCCCAGTCCAGATGTAGCAAGGATTCTGCTCAGTTTGGAGAGGATCCCCACCTTCAGTAGCCCCCATGTCCCTGAGGTGTCTGATGGCCCTGCCGGCCTTCAGCAAGGATCCTGGTAGGTGGGGGAGCCAGGACGCCTGCTCATGGTGGCCTTAGGCTTCTCCTCTGCGCTGCCCACCCCCGCTGTCTGCCCACCTGCAGCTGAGCCCACTCATCACAGGGAGTCTGCGAAAGCTTCCCTCCCATGGCAGCAAGTGTCAGAATACCTGTGACCCTCTCATGGGTCCCCTGCAGACTGGCCCAGGGGCTCCGGGCCAGAAACGGACTGGCTTTGGCCTGAGGCCGAGCGTGCATCGAGCTCTGTTCTAAGCATCTGTCTGAGAGTGAGGTTGGCACTCGCTGGCTGCTCTGTGCTGCTGTGGCTGCCATCACTGGTCCTGTCCCTCGTCTCCCCCCAGGAGCTTCTGGGGGCCCCAGTGTGGGGCCAAGGATGGGGCCCACGGGAGCTGTCGTGCTGTCCTGTGGTGGCAGGGTGGGTGGCCACTGAATCAGCCCAGGAAGGCTGCCTCCAGAACTCTGCCTCCTCTGGGGTGTGGCCTGATGTCCAGGTGCACATCAGACGGGTGGCCTTTCCTGTGTATAGGTGTCAGCTCCCAGGGTGAAACGGACCTGAACAGGCATCTTACTGGAGAACCCAAACCTCCCAGAGGGCACCGTGTTCTGAGGCTCACAGAGCCTGCTGACCGTGCATCTTTTGGGAATGGTCTTCCTGGAGCTCCACCTGGGGTCTGAACTGAAGGTGTTGTCATCGTAGACCCTGACTGGGCCACCCCTTGGCTGGGTGACACGGGGCAGGGTCTGCAGAGCACCGCCTGCATGGGACCAGCTTGTGTCTTTGGCTTGCAGTGGCACAGCCTGGATGCAGCCGCTTTTCCATGGAGGGAATTCATCTCAGGTTCGGCATTGGGTGGACTCCTAGCCCCTCAAGAACATATATCCACCTGCAACCACAGAAGGTGGCCTTTTCTGGAAGCAGGGTCTCTGTGGATGGGATGACGGGTCCCAGATTACCAGGGCTGGTGTTAATCCAGGGACAGTTGTCCTTCTATGACATGCACATGATGGCAGTCAGACTGGAAGCCCAGCCCCAGCTACCCTGGCCCTGCTGAGAGTGATGGGTGCCCCCTGCACCTCGAGACTGCCTTCCGGGTGCAGTGTCCCTGTAGGAGCAGCATGGGGTCACAGGGAGCACAGCTGCCATCACAGAAAGGCAGAGGCTTGACCCTGAAGCCGAGGCTCAGGTCAGACAAAGGGGGTTGATGTCAGTAAGCACGAGGCAGACCCTGATCTGTTCCCGGGCGCTGGGCCCGAGGAGAGGCGGATGGAATGTGGACACTGTCTGTCCTCTGGGGTTTGCTGTGGCAGGAACTGTCACGGGTGGTGACAGGCAGATTTGACCAGGCCCGGGCTTCATCAGTGGCCTCCCCAAGGGCCAAGGGCCCCGCACACGTTCCGGGTGGCTCCTTGCTGATGACATCAGCACAGGACCTGCCTGTCCCTGGCTGCGGGTGGCTGACATGCTGGCTCCTCTGTTCTGAAACAGACACCTGTACTGCCATCCAGCGCACACCCAGATGCCCTCTGCAGGCTCAGAGGTGGAGTTACCAGAGGGCCATGCATCTCAGGGTTTGGGGCTGCCCCCTAGGGACCCCTGCCCACCCCACTGTGGGGTCCTGGCCTCATGCCACCTGGCTCAGAGCGAGGCCTGGGCAAGGCGAGGGGACACATCAGCTCCACCAGTTTCTGGGGCCCACTGCTGCACCAGCCTCTTCTGGCACCCCCCTACCCCACATCCCCCAATGTGTGACCCTGTGTATCTGGTCACCCTCTACAGTGCCGGCTGCCACTGTGACTCCTGACCCTTTGTTGCCAGGTGGTGATGAGCCACAGGCTAACTCCTCTCTGTCCCACCCCCACCTCCAGAGGAGGGAGGCTGTCCCCCAGGATGGGGAGGGGTCCTGCCGTGCCTGAGCCAGCCAGCAGGTGGGTGTTGGCGGCTCCTCAGAGAGCCACTCCGTGGAGCCCCCTCTCCCCAGCCTCCAGAGGGAGCCCCAGAAGGGACCGCCCAACTTCCAGGTGGAGGCGGTATTGGAGCGACTCAGCCTGCAGAGAGGCCGGGGTGGTGTGGGCCCGGGCCGGCGCAGGCCAGTGGCTGGAAGTGCCCCCCTACTGACCACGTTCCCCTCGCCAGGGGCCCAGTGTGGCTGCAGACTCCAGCCAGGCTGCCCTGGGCCCCGACCTCTACCTGCCTGGCCCCACAGGCCCCTCCAGGTTTGGGATAAGCTAAGGATGGACAGCACGGGCCGCGGGAGATGAAAGGGCTGCTCCCGGAAAGACGTGGAAACAAAACATTCGGGAGCCATGGCTGGCTGGCTGTGTGTGTTCCCAGCCCAGCGTCAGCCCCTCTCAGAGCCAGAGTCCAAGGCCAGTCTCAGGAGACATTCAGGAAGTGCGAGGCTGGTGGGCAGTGGGGCCCAGGTTTCAGGGTGGCTAAGCTGGCAGCTCTCTGCCTCAGGAGAACAGGGTGGAAGCCTGTCCCTCACCCTGCGGTGGCCCAGTGATGGGGCCCAGACCCCCTCTCACCTGACTCCCCGCCCACCTCCCTCTCGCGGGGGGCTCTGGGTGGCCACACCAGCGCAGGCGATGTGGCGGGGGCTTCTCTCCGGAAGGGATCCTGAGTCCAAGAAAGAAGTCAGCTCGAACACTTCAAGATTTCCCCAACCTTTGTTGTGAAAACATATTTTGAACTAATACTACCTTTTAAAAAATTATGGTAAAATACACATAATGTGAAATTCACCATTTTAACCATGTCTAAGTGCACAGTTTTGTAGCAGTAAATACGTTCACACTCTGAGCACCCGTCTCAGACTTTCCATTTTCCCACCTGAAATCTGTCCTGAGTAGCAGGACACCAGCTCCCCACCCTCTCCCCCTGCCCTGGCACCCACTGTCCTACTGTCCCTCTGAATCTGATCACTAGGGAACGTCCTGTGAGTGGACCATATGGTGTCTGTCCTTCTGTGTCTTGCTGGCTCCACTGAGGGTCACGCCCCGAATCCACCGCGGTGTGCTCGGATTCCCTTCCTTCCACGGCAGCATGGACAGACCCCCTCGTGCCCACCCCTCGTCTGTCTGTGCCCACCCCTTGGCTGTCGTGAGTGACGCTGCTGGGCACGTGGGCGTGCAGACGTCTGCTGGGTTCTCATACAGATCCAGTCTGTCCCACTTCTCCTACAGGTCCAGAAGAGGAATTAGTAGGTCATATGCTAGTTCTGTTTTTAATATTCTGAGGAACCTCCATGCTGGGTGCCATAGCAGCTGGGCTGTTCTTCCTTCCTGCCAGCCATGACGGGCCCCAATTTCCCCCACCTGCTCCAGCACGGGTCCTGGTGGTTTCGGGACAGGGCCTACCTCACAGGTGGTACTCTTCAGCACAGAGTGGATGGCCACCTCCCCCAGAACATGGACAACACCCCACTTTACCTCTCTCTGTATGAGGCATCTGGACTCCTGTTCGATGCACCATTTTGAAGGCCAGTTGAAGGCACCTGGACATAAATGCCGGCGGCCCTCTCCTGGGGTGAGAGGGCGCCCCAGCAGCACCCAGCAGGCCGTCACCCCTCCTCCCCAAACGCCTTCCCAGCTCCACGCGGCCCCACCGGCCTCCCGCAGCCCGGACCCCTTTCTTGGTGACATCTGCTCTTCCACTCTGCTGCAGGGGTGCCCTGGCCCTTCCCGGGCCTTCAGCTGCCTCTGGTTTCCTGGATCCTGGAGACTGGGTCAAGAGTGGCCGTTCTTAACTTTGACTTTGCCCCCAGGAGGGATTTGTGGCTGTCACCCTGCAGGGGAGGGACGGGACTGCTGTCCAACCCTTCAGTGTGTGGGGCAGCCCCCACCTGCAGAGGTGTCCACCCAAAATGCCAGCAGGGCCATGGTTGCAGACCCCCATCCAAAGGCTCGCTGAGCTCTGGCTCAGACCTCTCTGGGCAGGCTCTTCACAGGCCACCAGCAGGCCGGTGGCCCCATGCTGGCTCCTGCAGTGGCCTCCCGGGCAGTGGGCACTATGCCCTCTCTACTGTGCAGGAGCACCCCACCTCAGCGACTGCCCAGTCATATGGGGCACCTGCCTCGGCCTCAACGGTATTGTGGTCTCCAGGCACCCTTCCTGGGGGCTTCCATCCCCACTGACAGTCCTGGGAGATGTTGGTGATCACACAGGTTGCAAAGGGCAGTGTTCTAATTTCATCCCACCTCTGTGTGTGTCGGCTGATGTTCTGTAAAGAAAAGCCTGCCTTTATTCTTCCTTATTCCTGATCTGTCTTTTTTTTCTTTTTTTGGCATAGTTTCAGATTTTTTAAAAATCTGAGTTCATGGATTTTTTGTTTATTCAAAGTGTTACAATGAATATAGCCATTATTCTGTTTGAGACTCAAATTGTCTGTCGTCTAGCCATTGAGACTTCATTCTGTCGGGTCCCATGTCACCAAGTGCCTTTTTCTTCGAGCCCCTGTCCCCACTCCATGCCCCTATGCAGCCTGGGAATTAGCCCCTTTTCCCGTTTCCTTTCAGTAGGGAATGGAATTTCTAACCAAAGTCCTGGGCAGGATCAAATGCTGCTGGGGTCATTGTTTCTAGGTTGTTCCATTGGACTCACCTAGGGTAGGTATAGGATGCATAGTAAATATATGCGAAAACTTACAATACATATGGACAATTCCCTTGCAAGTGTAACTCGACCGGCCGTGGGCCCTGTCTGCAGAGTGTGTGTATCACCTTTCTCTTCTGAGGAAGCTCTGGGTTTCTAAGAACGTCACCGTATGACTCAGTGGGCCAGCGGAGCACTGTGGCTGGGAGGGAGCAGCAGGCCTGCGAGTCCTGGAGCTCTACCCTGGGCCCCAGCCCTGCTGATGGGGCAGAGCAGCCTCCCCATTGAGATGCTGCCTGCAGCCACTCTCTTCTTCAAATGTTAGCAATTTGAAGAATATGTAAGACAATTTTCAACTTCTTAAAATATCCAATTTAAGAAAATTTAACTGTTTCATCAAAATACCAGAAGGAATGCTGTGCACATGTCCCAGATGCCTGCAGCCCAGTCCCCGCCCACACACTGTGTTCCTGGGGTCGCCTCAGGTCCCTGCATGGCTAGCTCGGGGGGTGGTCAGGCCAGACCACCTGACTTCCTCCTGCATTGGGCTGGTGCTTCCCAGCAGCGCATAGTCGGGACCCCCAGCTGCCTGTCCAGCACCAGCCACCTGCACCCCAGGGAGCCCCACCTTCAGGCTTTGTGTCAGCAAGAATATGCTGGTGGTCAGGGCTTTCTCCTCCCAAGCTGCACACTTTCCTCAGGGGGCTTCCCTGTGGGTTAGACACTCAAACCCCACAGGACTGAGGGGGACTGGCATGGGGGGCCAGGCAGGGCCACTTTGCTCTAAGCAAGCTCCATCCTCCTCTCTGTGTGGCCTGGGGCAAGCTGCCTGCCCCCACTGGGCCTCAGTGTCCTCACCTGTGGAATGAGGCTGGGGCGGGTTAGGAGAGGGCTAAAGGTGAGGGTATGGAAGGTGCTGGCCAAGGACCTGGCTGAAGACGACGCAGCCCAGCTGCCAGTGGGCTCCATGGAGCAGGCCAGACTTTGCTCGTGTGCAAATGTGGCAGATGCCTGCCACCACTGCCCTGAGAGGATGCCACTCTGGTGCCAAGGGCACACTGCTGGGTGCAGACACAGGAAGGAGACATGCAGCTGGGGTGACAGGAGAGCTGGGCGGGAGTGTGGGAAGGTCACGGGGGTCTAGATCCTGGTGGCTTTCAGCTCTACGTGGTGGCTCTGAGGGGCCACACGGGAGTCAGAGCAGGGAGGGGCGTGGTGAAATGACATCTAGAGGGTTGCCTGGCTGCCCGTGAGGAGGGCTGGGGAGGCCAAGGTGAGGGTTGGAAGAGGGGTCAGTGGTGGTCCACAGGGCTGAGAAGGCCACCTGCCAGGAATCAGGAGTTTGGGGGTGCAGTTTCTGGGGCTGATGGGGGTCTGGTACCCCTCCCCCTGGGGAGGGGGAGACACACAGTCCCACTGCAGGCTGGGACATCGAGTCCGGAGTCTTCCTGGAAGAGAAACAGCAGAGAGAGGAGCTGGCTGCAGGGTCGAGGTGGACCCAGAGGCCCCATGGTGGGTGGTCAGAGAGGGCCCGCGTCCTGGCCCAGGAGCGGAGGTTCTGGGGCTGGGTGGCCCAGCGGACGTCCGCCGTCGAGCGCACTGTGGTGGGTCGCTTCAAGTGAACTGTGTGGTCCCTTCATTCCGAGGGGACCCTGCCCTGGGGCAGAGTGGGAAGGGGTGTCGGTTCCCCGTAGGGAATTGGTGGGGGGGCTAGGCAGGCTCCCCTGGAGGGAGGAGGTCCGTGGGAGGTAGGGCATCATCCTGCGGTCAGCTCAGAAGGACGGGCCTTCCCCGGGGGTGGGGCGGACTGGTGGCAGTGGGCGGGCCCGTGGGGCAGCCTGTAGGGTGTTGGTGAAGACCCTGCTGGCCCTGGACTCCACAGGGGTGACGGTGAGGCCCCAGCCTGGGCGGCTGCCCTCTGCCCCCAGCCCACGGCCCTCAGGCCCCACCCCGCCCCAGTGCCCCAGCCTCGGTACCCTGCTGGCCCAGTCATTCCCCTCTTCTCCCCAGACCTCAGCTCCCTCCGTGACTGTGACCTTCGCCCCAGGGCAGCAGGATAAGGGACTACAGAGGGGCTCGGGTCTGTGTGCGTCCCTAGGCCCGGGGCCCCAGCCTGGTCTCCCCGGCCACGGACAACTGCGTGGAAACCTCAGGGCAGGGCTACGAGCCGGAACAAGTGGCCGTCTGCGTTTGGGGCCTGACCCTCGCTGTGCCCCCCTTTCCTGAGGACCTGGAGCGTGGCCACGGCCCTGCTCTGCCCGTCGCCTGCCCTCCACCTTCAGCCACCCCTCCGCCCTGTCACCACAGTCAGAGCGGGGCCGTGGCCTCCCCCAGGCCGCAGGGGGGGCACAGGGTGGAGGGCAGGGTCTCCCGGCGCAGGAGCCAGTTCGCCTCTAAACGAGGTCAGGCCGCGGCCCTCCCGCCAGGGCCTCCCTGGGCGCCTCCGCGGGGGCCCCTCCGCCCACCACCGCCTGACTCCTAGGGGGCCCTCCTGCCGCCAGGCTTCTGGTCCCCCAACCTGGGTTCCCTCCCTTCTTGCCAGCCCCGAGCCCCTCCCCCGAGGCCGCCTGCCCACCCCTCGCCTTTGAACCCTCCCTCCCGCGCCCTTGGTGGGCGGCCGTCAGAGGGAGGGAGCGCGGCGGGGCTGCGCCTCCTCACCGAGGCCGCGCCCCCTGTTCCGCCGCTCCGGGCCCCGCCCACCCTGCTGGCCCCGCCCCCGCCCCGAGCCCCTCCCTCCCCGTTCTCAGCCCCGCCCCCGCACTCCCACCCTCCGGTTCGCATCCCAAGCCCTCGGCCCCTGCGGCCGCCGCGGGGCGCGCTGACCCTGGCCGTGCACCACGGCCGGCTGCGTACCGGAGGCCCCGACGGTGCAGAGGGAGAATGTGCGCAGGCAGAGGGGGGCCCGCTGTGCCCGGGGCTGGGCGGCGCACGTGCCCCGCACCCTGGGGGGGGTCTGCAGCGAGACCTCCGGGGACCCGCGGACCCCGTGCAGGCCCTCGAGCCTGGACGGCCTCCCACCGCCCGGTCCGGGCGGACTTCCCTGGCTGACTGGTCAGGGAATTTCCTGGCCAGGTTTCTTACCGCAGAGACAGCTCCAGGGGAAACCCCGCATGGAAGTGCAGTCCCCGGGGAGGAAGGGCGAGTGCTGGCCAGCGCGGACCGTAGGGGAGGCCCGGAGGGCTCTTCCTGAGCGCCCGCTGGGTCCTGTTCCCCCGGCTCGCACCTCAGGGCTGCCGGCCCGTCTGGTTCAGCCACTCCGCTCTGGCCAAGCGCCTCTGCCCAGGGCCTCCGCACTGCTGTTCTCAGGTCTGCCCACCCCCGGGAAAGAGGCACACCGCGGGCTTGCTGCATGAAGTCCGTGGGCAGCAGTGCAGATCCCTGCAGAGCTGAGGAGAGAGCGAAGAGCAAGGGGAGGTGCAGGCCGGGAGGGGGAGACACGGGCGACCGCGAACCTGGTCGGGAGGCCTCACAGGGGTCGTGGGGAAGCCAAGGCCCAGGAGACGCCCGTGAGGCCAGGATCATCAGCTGACGGAAGGGAGGAGAGGGCCAAGCCTGTTCCCTCTGGGCATGTCCAGGCTGCTGTCTCCCACCGGGGTCCCCTAGGGCCCCACACCCCCAGAGCCCAGGCAGCCCCCATTCTGTCACTTTCTTTGGCCCCAAACATACGTGCTTCTAGTCCCCTGTCTGCATCAGCCCCTGGCTCCTGCCTGCCTGGGAGGGTGCTGGCCCTGGTCAGGCGGCCCCACTGCTGCCCAGGTCAGGCATTTGCAGACCTGTGATGTGTGCACACGTCCACCCCAAGAAAGGTCTAGAAAGTCATGATGCACGCTGGGCGGGGAGAGTGTTTTCTGCTGCAGTGTGTCAGTGCCCCTTGGCCACGGGCTTGGCCCACCTCGACAATCATGGCGTGGGGTGGGCGCTGGCCTGAGTGGGTGCCCCTTTGCCTCCTGCTGTGCAGCCCCTCCAGTGTGGGTGCCTCTCACAGGGGGCGTTACAGCTCCATGGCCGTAGGACAAGCCGGTGGTGGCCAGCAGGGCCACGTTGGGACATGTGATGGGCACAGTGTCGCCTGTCAGACCTCAGGAGGAAGAAATCCCCTGTCCTCCATGGGCTAAAACTAACCTCGTGAAAATGTCGAGCGGAGCGGGGCTTCGTAGGGGCTTTCCTGGGAAGCAGGGCGGGACTTGCCCTGGCTTTTCATTTCTCCCTGCGGGAGCCTGACCCCGACACAGGCCTGGCTGGGAGGAAGTGAGCTGTTCTTGCAGAGCCTTCCAGCTGCCACCGCGCTGAGGGTGGAGGGAGGCATCCGTGCCAAGTGAAACACTGGCACAGACAATAGCCATGTATGTGGGGCAGGGGCCCAGCAGCTTCAGGCCCCTGCCCAGCAGGCTCTCTGGGGGCCTGCTCAGCTCCAGGAGTGGGGAGTACTGAGTGCGATGTCCTGCAGGCTTGGGAGTGCACTGCCTGAACTGTTGGTAGGCTGTCACGGGAGTGAAGTGCCCTGAACCTGGGCTGGCAACCTGAGCTTCCCCATGGCTGCCTTGGGGACAGGCTGGCTCCCCCACCTGGCCGGGCCTCCTTTCCTCCAGCAGAAGCAGTAGCCTCTGGTCTCTGATGGGCATGGGTGCGGGTGGACAGCAGGCCTGCCAGTGTCCCATCCCATTTGGCCACTTCGCTCCTCCCCCC